CTCAAGTGATCTTCTTGCCTCAGCCTCCCAAGTAGCTGAGACTATAGGTACATGCAACATTCCCGCCCAGCTTATTTTTTCTATTTTTGGTAGCAATGGGGTCTCGCTCTTTCTCAGGCAGGTCTTGAACTCTTGAACTGAAGCAATCCTCCCATCTCAGCCTCCCAAAGTGCTAAGACTACAGGTGTGAGCCACTTTGCCTGTTTACCTTTCTTTTTTCCCCCTCCTTTCTCTCACCTGAGGCCTTGGCCAGACCCTGTTTCTTCCTCTTGCTTATTTCTAAGAAAAGCTGATGATAAAGGTCTTGACTTCTGCTTGGTTTGACTTTCAATGTGATTTATTCATTTCCATAAATCCTCTAGAGTTATAAGCTCTAGAGATTGATTTGAGGGGATGGTCATCGTTGCTCCTACCATGAGACCATCGCAGGCTTATCCACATAAAGCCACAGTCTCTTGGTACTTTCCAGCCATCTTCTCAGACCACAGTCCTGGGGTGGGGGGGTTGGTGATTTGTGTTAGCTTGGGTTGTGAAGCTCTAAATATGGGGCTTGATATAAACTCCACAGGAAGATCATCATCATCAAAACATGTTTACAAATGTTATGGTCAACATTTCTACCTAACTCTACCTCCCAACTGTCTAAGTAATCACTTTCTCCTTATCTGTCCACCCACTTTATCTAAACTCTTTTCATGGAGTTGCTCCTTTTCTTTCTTTCCTTCCTTCCTTTCCCTTCTCTCCCTTCCTTCCCTTTTTCTCTCTCTTTCTTTCTTTCAAGAGATGGGGTCTCTTTATATGTTGCCAAGGCTAGCTTCAAACTCTTGGCCTCAAGTGATCTTCTGACATCAGACCCCCAAGTAGCTGGGACTATAGGCATTTTAGTGGTTTTGCTAAGGCTATAGGCTTCTTGAGGACAACATGCACCTATAACTTGGAATCTCCTATAGCACTTTTCATAGACTCTGGCAAAAATGTAATACATACATAAATGAATTTATTAAGGGTGGGTGTGGTGGCTCACACCTGTAATCCCAGCACTCTGGGAGGCCAATGTGGGTGGATTGCCCTGAGTTCACAGATTTGAGACCAGCCTGAGCAAGAGTCAGACCCTGTCTCCAAAGCACAGGTGGGTCTTATGGCAAACGCCTGTAGTCCCAGCTACTGGGAGGCTGAGACAAGAGAATTGCTTGAGCCCAAGAGTTTGAGGTTGCTGTGGTCTATGATGGCATGGTGACAAAGCGAGACTCTGTCTAAATAAAATAAAATAAAATGAAAAAAAGGAAAAAAAAGAAAAGAAAA